TTGTGAGCTGGGCATTCTTCTCCTCCAGGCCCTTCATAAAAACCCTGGAAACCAACACTGGGCCCCAGCGTGGCCCCTTCCCTGGGGACTAGCCTGCCACCTGGTGGCGGCTCGACTGCCTTGGCCCTCATCCACCCCGACTGGCCCTCACCAACGTGCACATGTCTGAATATGCATTTGCCTCCCTGCCCTTCATCCTTCTGCCAGCACCACCATCCATGGGCTCACAGAATGCCCCACCAGCCTGGCATCACATTGAAGAACCCATTTCATGCAAAGGAAGAGCAGCCATAGGCTTGTGCCCACGGAATTCCCTGGCTTACCACACACCCCATTCCAGGTAATGCAGCCCATACCTCACGCTTTCATTAACAGCTTCCTTTCTTCCCACATCCCCATGCAACTTCAGGGGATGAGGAGGTATGGGGGCCATTGGGGGGCCTCCTCACACAGGCCACAGCCCAGCCCAGGGCCAGGAAACCTTGTGATCCAAGACCCAAGCCTCTTGGAGCCACACAGCATGTCTGATGAAAAGACCCCCCAATGTCATTTAGTCCAACTCCCGTTTCACAGCTGGGGACACAGGCCAAGAAAAGGGCAGTGGCTTGCCTGGAGGTATGTGGTGAGAACGTGACAGCCCTGTTCCTGCCAGCTTCCCATCATGCCCCCAAAGTGAAGCAAGCAGGGATCTGGGGCTTGGCTCCTCTGGAGGCACCCACGGGCTGGGCATCCTTACCATCCATCCCTCATGGCAGGGTGGCCCAAGGGCCGGGACCAGCCCAGTGGCCTGCCTCTGGGATTCAGCTGTGATCCCTTCCTTCCCTGTGGGGTGCCCCAGCAGGGCCTGTCCAGGCACTCGTCTCCTGCAGTCAATCTCCTGACCTCTGCTGCCCTGTTCCTGGGCTGACAGTGCCTCCAGAGGCAGCTCTGATCTTCACCTCTTCGGCACCTGCCCCCTACCCGACCGCACACACTGGTGGAAGGGCTCTGGCTGGGCTGGGCTGGGTTACACTGCTCCGCGTTGACACTGCAGCCAAAGCACCCGTCTCTTCCAGGACAACCCAGGGTCACCCAGTGAGAGGACCGACCGCAGGGCAGCTCTGGGGTTACTCCTCAGGTTTACAGAGGCGCTTCAGCTCTTGCTAATGGGAGGCTAGGAGGCAGATGTTTGTGGGGAGGCAGAAATTCATTTTAGGTCGGCAACAGGTTTAAGCAAGCATCTGTGTCTGGTTGGTGTGTGGTGGGAGGGCGGCAGTGCGGGCTCCTTGCCTGGCTGGGTGGGATAGGGGTTAGGTAGCAAGTAGTCAGAACAGGGATAGACACACAGTGGCACCAAAGGTCTGGCTGACTAGGGGGTGTGTCCTTGCAGCCCTGTCTCTGGGGCTGACAGATGGGCTGGGACAGTCCAGCATCGGAGAAGCAAGACTCTGCATACCAAGGGACATTTTGCAACTTAAGAAGAGTGATTTCTTACATACAAAAGAATGTTAGTAACCTACACAAAGAATAAAAAACTCTATAATGAATACTTGTGTGACTTAAAAAGCAGAACATTAATATCATTGGAACCCCTTGTGCCCCTCCCCAATTACATTCCACTCGTGAACTGAACTCGGTGTTTCTCATTCCCCTGATTTTTCAAATAGTTTTTTTACAAATGAGTGTAGCCCTTAAAACTATTGTCAGTCCTTCGTGGTTTTTTTTATTGAGGTGAAGTTCACATACAAAATTAATCATTTCAAAGTAAAAAATTCATTGGTATTTAGTACATTCACAATGTTGTGCAACCAGCACCAATATCTAGTTCCAAAACATTTTTGTCACCCCAGAAGGAACCCCATACCCATTAAGCAATAACAGATCATTTCCCCTCCCCACCATCCAGCCACCAATCTGCTTTCTGTCTCTATGGATTTACCTATTCTGGATATTTTATACAATAATATTGTGGCCTTTTGTGTCTGACTTATTTTGCTTAGCATAATGTTTTCAAAGTTCATCCATGTTGTAGCATGTATCAGTACTTTATTTCTTTTTGTGACTAAATAATGTTCCACCATATGGACCTATCAAAACTTGTTTGCCCTTTCATCCACTGATGGACATACCAGTCGTTTCTACCTTTTGGTGATTGTGAATACTTCTGCTATGAACATTAGTGTACAAATACCTGTTTGAGTCCCTGCTTCCGATTCTTTTTTTTTTTTTTTGATATATACCCAGAAGTGGATCATATGGTAATTCTGTTTAATTTTTTGAGGAACCACCATACTATTTTCCACAGCAGCTGCACCATTTTACATCCCCACTGTTGAGTTAACTTCTGTATATGGTGTGGAGTAGGGGTTCAACTTCATTCTTTTGCATGTGGCTGGCTATCCAGTTGTCCAAACACCACTTGCTCAAGAGACTGTTTTTCCCCCGTTGAATGGTCTTGGCACTCTTTTTGACAATCAATTGGGTATAGATGTCTGAGTTTATTTCTGGACTGTCATTTCTACTCCATTGATCTACATGTCTGTCTTTATGCCAGTACCATACTGTTTGATTACTGTAGCTTTGCAATGTATTTTAAAAACAGGAAGTGTGAGTCCTCTTTGTTCTTCTTTTTCAGTTTAGGACTATTCAGGGCCCCTTGCAATTCTTTACGGAATTTTAGGATGGATTTTTCTATTTATTCAAAAAAAGGTCATTAGAATTTTAATAGGGATTGCAACAACTCTGTAGATTGCCGTGGGTAGTATTGCCATCTTAACAAGATTAAGTCTACCAACCCATAAACATGGATATCTTTCCATTTACTTAGGTCTTCTTTAATTTATTTCAGCAATGGTTCATAGTTTTCAGTGCACAAATCTTTCAGCTCCTTGTTTAAACTTATTTTATTATTTTGGATACTTTTATAAATACAATTGTCTTAATTTCTTTTAGGACTGGTTTTTGCTGGCATATAGAAACACAACTGACTTTGTGTGTTGATCTTACAAGTCCTGATATTTTTTAGCTTTAATCACATGTATTATTTAGAGACCTTTTTTCATGCTAAGCATTGCCAGAATTATCTATGGTGATACACATAACTAATCCATTCATTTTTCCCTCTCACGTGGTATTTTACTACAATTTATCTCTTCTCCCAGTGATGGTGAGTTGGCATGTTTTGTCTTTTGCTGTTTAACACAGGGCACATGCCCAGGGAATGGTTCTCAGCCAGGTCTGCACAGTACAGTCATCTGGAGTGTAAGCTTTTTATGATTAGCAGCAACAAGGCCCCATCTCCAGAGAAGGCAATTCAACTGATTTGGGGTAGAGGTTGACATCAGTGTGTTTTAGATCCTTAGATGATTCTAATGTTCAGTGTGTGTTGCGAACCACTGTTTTAGAGTATATACCCAGGAGTGGAATGCCTGAGAATGTGCAGCTTCAGATGTAAAATCGTTGCCAGTGTGACTGTACTACACCAGCACGGCCAGGCCGTCCATCCCTCAGCAGTGCACAGATTCTATCGCTTCACATTCCCATCAGCACTTGGCATTGTCAGACTTTAAATTTCTGCCTGTTGCTCTTTTGTGTGATCTTAATTTGTGTTTCCCTGGTTAATGATTAGGTGAAGCATCTTTGAATATTTATTGACCATTCTCCTTTCTTCTTTTGTCAAATGCCTATTTGTATCTTGTGCCCATATCTATGTATTTGCATATTCTACATATAAATCATTTGGTTACCAATACCTTCTCCTGGTTTGTGGTTTTCTCTGCCTTTATTAAAATGTTTTGATTAACAGAAGTTGTCCATTTTATTGTGGATGAATTTTTTCAGTCTTTTCCTTTATAATCTGCTTTTATGTAATAAGAAATCACTCCTGACCTTGATGTAATCAAGATATTATCTTACATTTCTTTCTACAATTTTTTAAAGTACTACTCTTCACATTTAGGTCTTTCATCTGCATGGAATTGATTTTTTGGGTATGATGTGAAATGAAGTAAGGGTCCAATGTCATTTCTTCTCCTCATGTGTAACACATTTTCTCAGCACATCAGACAGTCCATTATTGCCTCGGCCTCTCTCCCTAACCTCCAGGCTTCCTCTGGCACAGGCATGTCTATGTTTAGGTCCGTTTCTGGCTTCTGTTTGATGTACAATATGACTGTCTTATTCTCTTCATTTACTCTTCAGGAACATCTTAACAAATCAACATTGATGGTTTTATGGGTGTTCACTGTAAAATTCAATTTTTCTGATGTTTGAAATTTTTCGTAATAGAATGTTGGGGAATAAAGGGTCATTGGCCTTTACCCTTTCACCACGATACAGGTTTTAAAAGACTTTGGTTTCAGATTGAGCCAATTTCCAGCAGCTGCAACCTTTGGAGAAAAGGGCAAGTTTTAGGACAGTATGCAGGACTTTCACATTCCAGTAGGCAAAAGATTACTTGCTGGGGGTGGGGCAGTACGGGTCTTACATCGTCCCCATTTCACAGCCCAGGAAAGTCACTTCTCTGAGGACCCACCCTCTGGGCCCCAGTGAGGAGTCAAATGCCCCAGCCTCTCTCTCTGCTCCTCCAGGACCCCTGCCTCAATCTGCCCCGTCTGCCTTCCACGTCAATTTCTGTTTCTCTGTCTCCTGGGGTTTGGTCTGGTGGAGAAATGGTGGCCCAAGAAAGACAGTTGTGAGACGTGGCCCAGGCCACCCCGTGTGACCGTCGGGCCCCAGACGTCCCTCGTTCCTGCCCTTCTGCGGTCCTGATCGTGCAGTCGCCAGCTATCTTTTAACTATCTCCCTCCGTCTCCCCAGTCGGCCGTCTGACCACGCCGCCAGCTGTGAGCGCCTCCTTTCTGATTTCCCACCTCTGCACCGCAGCCTGGGCTGCCGGCGCCCGTGTTCTCAGCCGCCACCAGGGGGCGCGCGCGGCCCAGGCTGGGCGCGGGAGCCGCCGAGAGTCCACCCACCTTCCCGGTGCCCCGCCCCGTCCGCCTACGGCCCCGCCCCTCCGGCGCCCCGCCCTGTCCGGCCGCGGCTTCGCTTCCCCGGTTTCCTCCGTGTCCGCCGCGCCCCCCACGCCCAGGACCCCGGTGCCTCTTTCTCGTCTGCTCACCGGGTCCAGCCATGGGCCCCGCCGCTCGCCCCGCGCTGAGGGCGCGGCTGCCGCTGCTGCTGCCGCCGCCCCCGCCGCCGCTGCCGCCGCCGCCACTGCTGGCCCTGCTGGCCCTGCTGCCGCTCTGGCTGGGCCTGGCGGGGCCCGGGGCCGCGGCGGACGGCGGCGAGCCTGTGGCCGGGGCGGGGCGGGGCGGGGCCCGCGCCGTGCGGGTGGACGTGAGGCTGCCGCGGCAGGACGCTCTGGTCCTGGAGGGAGTCAGGATCGGCCCCGAGGCCGACTCGGCGCCCCCGCTTGGCGGCCGCCTGCTGCTGGTGAGCTCCGCCGATCTGTCTGGCCCCCGGCCTCGCATAGACCCCGAATCCAGATCCGGCCTTCGTCCTGGACCAAACCCCGGCAGCCCACCGCCTCCCCCCCCCAGGCTGACTGGATCCCCAGCGTTCCGGCTTCCAAAGCCTGAGACCCAGAGGCCCTCCCCTCCCAACTCGTTTCAAACCCTGGCCTTGCACCCTCGTGTGCTGGAGCCCCGTTCCTCCCGCCCCTCCCTCTGCCCGTGGCTCCTCGCCCCACAGATGGACATGGTGGATGCTGAGCAGGAGGTGCCGGGAGAAGGCTGGATCGCGGTGGCGTATGTGGGCAAGGAGCAGGCGGCCCAGTCCCACCCGGAGAGTCAAGGCAGCGGTCCGCAGGCCTATCCCAGGGCCCTGGTCCAGCAGGTGCAGTGGGTATACGGGGGGCTGGGGGCTGGAGGAAGGCATTTCAAGGCATCTGCTCAAGCCAGACTACCAGGTGGGCCCTGAGGAGCTTCTGGAGAAGCTCTGGGCCTGGGTGAGGCCGTGGACCTCAGTTTGAAGAACTGAGGCAGTACGGTGTGGAAGCAGGGAGGTGAGAGAGGCCAGAGAGAGTCAGGAAACTCCGCCAGGCTCTCAGAGTATCCAGTGGGAAGTTCCTGCTGGGAGTTGGTGGGCAGGCCTACCCTGCCTAGGACTAGGGAGGGCACAGCATTGTATGGGTCCCGCAGACCATCTGGGGGAAAGGCAGGAGGAATAAGGGTTCTTGCCCTTGACTCTCAGGAGCTTATAACCAGTCTGTCCACAGGAAATGCTCAGTGCAGGAAATGCTCACTGCAGAGCCAAGAGCTAAGAACAGCTGTGGCTGCAGGTGGTGAGACAGGTGTGTGGGCAGGTATGTATGTTGGCATCTGCCTCTGTCTTCCTGCAGATGCGGAGGGCACTCTTCCTGGGAGCCTCTGCCCTGCTTCTCCTCATCCTGAACCACAACGTGGTGCGAGAGGTAAACCAGCTCAAGCTGTAGGGGTGTGAAAGCCAGGGAACGGGGGCCCAAGGCCAGCTGACTTCTCTGTCCCCCTACAGCTAGACATATCGCAACTTCTGCTCAGGCCGGTGATTGTCCTCCATTATTCTTCCAACGTCACCAAGCTGTTGGAGGCATTGCTGCAGTGAGTGAGGGATCTGGGCTCCATAGGACTGGGCTGGGTGTTGAGGGGTCCCTGGCTCTGCCGTGGGCTCAGGGGTCTTGGGACCAGGGCCTTTCCTGTTAGCCTTAAGACTGTAGTCTCCTGTTCTGAAAAATGGGTAAGGGAAGAGGAAGGAAGTGCCAGGGCCTGGAGCGAAGAGGCAGCTCTGTGGGCAGAGGAGACTGGCTCCAGCAAGGAGGAAGCCGGTTTCCTGATGGACACACTCGTCCTCAGGCTTGCAGGCCTCCCTGGCCTGGCTGGTATGGGAACTGGAAGAAGCAATAGCCAGGAAAGGCCGGGTCCAAAGCATAAGAGGTGTGGGGTGATATTTGGGGTACCCTTTTCCCACAAGGCTGGTGGGGCCTGGCTTCCCAAGAGCTCTTCCGTCTGGCCCCTCTGTGGCCTTCCCTCCCAGGAGGACCCAGGCCATGGCTGAGATCACCAGTGGAGAGTCCCTGTCAGCCAACATCGAGTGGAAGCTGACCCTGTGGACCACCTGTGGCCTCTCCAAGGATGGCTACGGAGGATGGCAGGACTTGGTGTGCCTGGGAGGCAGTCGGGCCCAGGAGCAGGTGGGTGCCGGGGGAGAGGCGGCTCGGGTAGGGCCGCACATGTGCCTCGTCTCAGGTCCTGCAACCTCTCGTGCCTTAGCGGCAAGGAGCGCCTCTTCCACCTTCCAGGGCTCTGCAGTGCCTGACCCGGGGTTGTGCACAATCAGTGTTGGCTGCCGCTCTGTCATTCTCCTACTCAGAAGACTTCTTTGGCTCCCCATTGCCTGCAGAATAAAGTTCAGACTCCGTAGCCTGGCTTTCCAGCTCTCCTGATCACTGACTTTTTCCCCCCCTAGTCTTCCTTATACCTGTCATCCTGTGCCATTTACTGGTACACATATCCTGGCCTTCTGCCACTAGGCCACTCCATGCTTGACTGCAGGCAAGGACACTCTTTTTCCCTGTCTGCCTATGTCCCAGTCTAGCCAGAGCCCTCACAGCTATCCTGCCTTCTTTGGAAAGTCTCCTTCAGCTCACTGAAGGAGGCTCTTTCTAAGAAAGGAGCCCCTTTCCAAAGGAGGCTTTTTGAAAGTGAGTTTAGAGGGGAGGGCCTCTGGGTCTCACTGTCTCTGTCCGTCTTCTAAGTCACAGCTGTACTTTATCAGGCCCTTCAGAGGCTCTTAGGACAGCCCATCCTGTGTCAGTGTTGGGGAGCATGACTTTGTCTCCTGGAGGCTGGGGCTGGGCTTTGCCTCTGGATTCCCTGATGCTTGACATCAAGAGGGTTCAAAGGTATTCTCTCCACAAGTACTCCTCAAGCCCCTACTCTGTGCAGGGCAGGCATGGCCCGGCATCCTGGTGTGTAGCCTCTAGCAGATGTCAGGGGACACGGGCTGGGCAAGTCAGCTTCAAGTCTGGCAGACTTGAAACCTTAGCTGAGTGATCTCAGGCCAAGTGTTTAACCTCTCTGGTCTCCTGTTCTTCATTTATAAACAAGAACAGTACACAGCCGTGGGACTGGCAGGGGATTGTGAAAGTAAAGTTCGTGGTGGGTGCTGAACAAATTGGGCAGGTGCTGCTACTTGGAATGACTTTATTAAAAAGTGCTTGAATAAATTAGTGGTCACCAGATAACTCTGAGATCCTAGGACACTTGGGGCTCGATGACAAGGGCTGTGGAGGGTACCGAAGGGCTGAAGACCTGAGCTACATGCTGAAAGACTCAAAGACAGGCAGGGAAGAGGAACTCTTCCGCACAGGGGACCTTGGCAGCTGAGACGGCAGGTGCCGATTCCTGCTTGAGCAGCCCTAACTGAAACAGCTCTGAGGAGGGGGCAGGCACCGACACTTGGGCTATGTCCCCCTGGAGGGCAGCCCACACTGACTTCTGGGAAAAGCTGCTGTTTGGTGAGGAGCTGCTAAATGAGAGGCTGCAGGTAGGAGAGGAGCAGGCGGGAAGAGAGCTTGCAGAGGCTGGAGGCGGAATGTATGCAGCCTGCAGGTTAGTGGTTGGGCGAAGCTGGACAGCAGTATTGCTGGGCGGGTGGGCTTCTGCAGATGTTGGGTGGCCATGGCAGCCGAGGTGTCTGCAGGGCGGCTGAGGCCAGCTCTCAGCCCTGACCCCCGGGCCCATCACTGTCCCTCCAGTCTGGGAGTCCAGAGCTGCAGCACCCATCAGGAAAGTCGTATCTCATCCTTGCTACTTTGATGGACAAACCTGCCCCTGCCCCCCCCTCACCTAGGGATCCCCAAGATGCGCTGAGCCAAGGGAGGCTGCGTCTCTGGCCTCCAGTGGGCCTCTAGGCCAGCCGTGCTCTTGGCCCACCAGCGCTCTGGCTGCCCCAAAGCAGAGCTCCAGGTTCTGCCCTGGAGAGCTTACATTGTAATGGCCACTCAGTCCTGCCCTGTGTCAGCCTGACTCTGCATGGCATGGGGCACAAAGGCAGGCAGCTCCAGCCCTGGGCTCATGGACCCCGTCTGCGGAGGAGATAGGCCAGAGATGCTGTCACTCTGCTGGGGTGAGTGCTGAGCCAACACTCTTTAGGGTGTAGCGAAGGCATCTGAGCGCAGCCTGGCAGCTTGGGGAGAGCTTCCTGGAGCAGGTGCCACCATCCCATTCCCCAGGGCACATGGGCACAGAGCCCTGTGGGAGAGGGTGGGACGGAGCGGGGAGCGGGGGCTCACTGACACCCCCACCTCTCAGTAATGGGCCCGCGTGCCTCTGCCTTGAGCAAGAGCAACAGCTTGGGATACTAGTCGCGGCCGACTTCGTCTTCGGCGGCGGCCTCCTGTAACGCTGAAGAATATTTTGGCCCTTTTCCCGCACATGATCATAGCTGAACTTCAGCACTGGCTGGGGAAGAACGTGATGGCAGAAAGCTTCTAAACAAATGCGTTTATTAGTCGTCACACTCGCCCAGAGCATGTGGTACTGGGCGCCTGTGTGGGTGGGCGGGCTGGGCTTTGCTTACCTGCCCCTTCATTTCCTGAGCAGCTCTTTGGTAGTCAAAGCCCAGCTGCCGCAACACGTATGATGGGAGTTACGGCAAGGTCACTGAGGTCCCCTGGGGCCTCTCAAAGGCTGAAGGCTGGTCAGACATGGTTCCTCCTGCCAGCGAGGGCCCAAGGACCACCCAGGGCAGCAGCAAGGAAACACGCAGTTAAGAGTGGGTGGGCTGCACAGGGGAAGGCATGGGGCAGTGCCCAGCCTTGGTGCTCAGGGAGCTCTCCAGAGCAAGAGGCATCTGAAGGCATTAACCAAAGGAGCGGGCAAGGAAGAAGAGAGTTCCTGAAATGGGAGACTGTGTGGAAAGGCCCAGGCGGAGGGAGCAGGAGCACGAGATGCCCAGAGGACACAGGGAGTGGCATCAGGGGCTGGGGGCTGAGAGGATTTGGGTTTTCTCCTTAGGGTGGGGGATGGGGGTTGGAGGCATTGGAGGGAGGGTGTCAAGCAGGTGTGCTGCATGACCAGGTCTGCAGGTGAGATTCCCCGCGGCTGTTGGGGCGAATGGGCAGGTGAGGTTGCAGCAGGGGAGCCAACGAGCAGTAAAGGAGGGGCCTGCGGGACCCCCAGGAGAACAAAGCAACGGGTCTGGTGCCCTCAGACAGCATGTGGATGCTCAGCCGGGACAGTGGGTGGGTGGTGACTCTGAGAAAGCAGACCAGAGGTGTGGGGTAGGGGCGGGGGTGGGAAGGTGACAGGGTCCTGGGCTGGGGCATCTGTGAGGCTCCCACATAGAAGCTTCCATGATTGCAAAAACATGAGTTTGCTGCCTAGGAGGGGATGGTAGACCCCTCAGCAGCTGGACAGAGAGCTGTGCAGGGCAGAGCAAAGAGCTGGGGCAGGCCCAGGGAGACGCAGGTGGGAGGGACAGAGGCTTCAGAAGAGGAAGCCAGGAGCCTGCAGGAACACAGGGCCGATGGACCTCACCTGCCTCGGGCATGGGGTAGATTTACTGGGGAAAGAGTGCAGGGTGGCCCCAGCATCCCTGATACCCTGCTCCACTCTCCAGAAACCCCTGCAGCAGCTGTGGAATGCCATTCTACTGGTGGCCATGCTCCTGTGCACAGGCCTTGTGGTGCAGGCCCAGCGGCAGGCATCGAGGCAGAGCCAACAGGAGCCCGGAGGCCAGGTGGGAGCCCGCCGGGGAGGCCCTGGTGCCTGCAGCCCTTGGGCCTGGTGAACCGTGCCTGCCCTCTCCCCACAGGTGGACCTGCTCAAGCGCCGTGTGGTGCAGAGACTGGCGTCTCTCAAGACCCGGCGCTGCCGTCTGGGCAGGGCAGCGCAGGGCCCCCCGGAACCTGGGGCTGAGACCTGCGCCGTGTGTTTGGACTACTTCTGCAACAAGCAGGTTAGTGGCCTGGGCGGAAGCCAGCCTTCAGTTGACCTGTGATGATGTCCCCTACCCTGCCTGCAAGAAGCCTCAGAACCCCCTGACCAGGCCCTTCTCCTGCCAGCCCCCAACATAACCAGGAAGGCAGAATGGGGATGGCTGGCCACAGGGGATGGTCTGGCTCAGGTGAGGGCCAGACACCCTCACTGGGAGGCGTATCGTGTGGCTTGAGCCCCTCCTACACACCCTGCAGTGGCTCCGGGTGCTGCCTTGTAAGCATGAGTTTCACCGGGACTGCGTGGACCCCTGGCTGATGCTCCAGCAGACGTGCCCACTGTGCAAATTCAACGTCCTGGGTGAGCACCAAGGGTGGGGGCCCTTGGCTGGCAATGCCTGGTCCCGGCCTGACATCTCTTCCCTGTTCTTTTTCCACCTGCCCTGCAGGGAACCACTACTCAGATGACTAGCTGCCCCAGCTGGGTCTCTGCACAGTGGGAAGGGACCCCTCTCCTGGAACTGGAGAGCAGGATGGACAGGACAGAAGGCCCTGTGGGCGGGAGAAAGACAGGGTCCTCCCCTGCTGAGGGGCAAAGTGCCCCACCACATCCACACTGGGAAGGAGGGGCCGCTGAGCCCCCGGGCCAAGGATGCAGTGCCTGGACCTGCCGGTCAAAGAAGGGAAGCCACTTTGGGGCCCTTCTCTGCCATCCCTGGGTGTCTGTCTCTGCTCTCCTCATAGGCAGCTCCCAGGACCCTGGGCAGGGCCCCGGGGAAGGAGGGCAAGGGGCAGTGTGGCTGTGCCCTCTTCTGTCAGGGCATTCCTGGAGGCTGAGGCTGCAGTGGCCAGGTTTTGTGCTTATTTATTGGGGGGGAGGGGGGCTGGGGGAGAAGCTGTCTGGCCTTGGAGGTCCCCTGGCCTGAGCATCTCGCAGGACGCATCTCAGTCGACATTGCGATGTTCCACCCAGAGGCCCCTCCACTGCTTGCTTCCCTAGGTCCTCGGACACTAAGAGCTGTGGGTCCCACTGCCTGTCCAGCTGGGCTCCATTCCCGGGCCTGGCTGGGCCCAGAGGCCTTAGAAGCCATCCGGGCCTGTGCTCAGCAGGGCTACAGGTCGCTGACCAGGATACTTGAAGCCGCAGGATAAATGTGGTGCCTCTCCCAGGTGCATCCATTTTTTAAAGAAGGTTTGGGGTAGAGGGGGTTTAATATTAAAATAAACATGAATATATTTTAACTTAAGATGTAAAATGTTTGTGGATGTTGCCTTGGGCTCTCCTGCCACTGGCAGGTGGAGTCTAAGATTCCCCAAGACCCCATGCGCATGTCTAGTTTAATCCTGGAGCTGTCACTCCGGGGATCACACTCTCGCGATCAGGTTGTAGCGCACGGCACAGTTGAACGCCGGAAGGAAGAGCAGGCTTGACCTAACCGCATGAGCACATTAAAAACCATCTTCTCTGGCTGGTGGAAGAGGAAGCCAGAAACTGAAGCACGATGGGAATCAGTGCATCGGAAATTCTCTGTTAGTGACTCGAACACGGAGGGGGCCCTGTGGCAAGGAATGTAGACCGCCACTAATTGCTGAGAGTGGTCCTGCTTGACGACGGCCTGCAAGAAATGGACCTCAATCCTGGAGCTGCTGCAAGAACTGGAATTCTGTCAACAGTCAGAATGACTTCAGAAGTGGATTCTTTCCCCCAGCTGTTGGAAAGGACTGCAACTGGCAGATATTTTGATTTTGGCCTTCCAAGACCCTGAGCAGAGAACCTGGTCACACAGGGCCCAGTTCTGACCCACAGAACTCTGAGCTAATGAACAGGTGCAGAGGGAGCTGAGCTGCGTCATGTCCTCCTGCTGGGTTGGGCCCAGGACTCCTGCCTCAGGGAACTACCCACTCCCACCCCAAGTGAGTGGCTGAGCTGGGGTATCCCAGCCTCCCTCAGGAACCCTGGGCTCCACAGAAACAAAGTCGGGCAGACCCTGGCCATGCCAATTCAGCTGCACACAGCCCCTCCTGACCCTTCTCTGTAAACTGAAGTGCTTTACCTGTCGGCCCCCCACCAGGGGGAAGTGGAGGAAGCTGGGAGCCCCTACCCTGAGAAGTCCTCTGGGGTCTTAGAACCTGTACTGCATAGGCGAGGTGACTCGGTAGGCCAGAGACTTCATGAGGAGAACCACTGCGGGCCAGGTGTGGCTGGTGGCATCAATGCCTGGGCCCCAAGGGACAGGCCTGGGAAAGCCAGGGCTGGCTGGGTTGTCCCACTCTGGTCGTGAGACACTGCCCTGCTTTCAGTGGCCTCCTGGGGATCCAACATCCTGGACTTAGAGAAGCCCTTTGTGACTCACACTTCCTGAAGGCGAGGAGCTCTTCAGTGAAAGGAGAGCTGGCTTCTGGATCCTCAGGGTCCCCTTCCCTGGGTTCCGAGCCTCAGGGCGGGGTGGGAGGTCCCAGATCCAGGCCCAGGGCGGTGGCAGGTACGGCTGCCCTCTGCCTGCAGCCTGAGCATAGAGCTGGGAGCCCCCCCTGACCCCTCCTTCCCTCGGCTATCAGCAGGCCCACTCAGGTGGCTGCTCTCCTCCCCTGCACACTTCCTACCCTGACCGCTCTTCACTGGCGGTTGGGGTGCACAGTCCATGTTACCCTTTGGCTGTTGCTGCAGGAATCAGAGGATTGCCTTTCACCTGGCCTCGGTGCTAAAGCTTCTTCCTGCCCTCAGGGTGCCCCATCAGGAGGGAGGCAGGAAGCTCCCATTTACTGAGCACCCACAGGGTGCCAGGCATTTGTTGGCCAATGTCCCACATGGCTGGGGATTCAGTGGTCCCTGCCCAGCACAGGAAAAGGAAGGACTCTACTGGCTCGGCCAGTACTATGAGGCCAAGGTCACTGTGGGCGGATGGCTGGACTTTATTACACTGGGTGGGTTGCCAGTACCTGCCCTCCACCCCACCTCACTGCAGGCTATGTGGGCCGCTCCTGGGGCTGGTGTGCAAGGCCAGCCAGGCCCTGGCCTGGTGACAGTCTCCTTCTCAGCCTGGTCAAGGCCCGGATCGGGTTCTGGGCGCAAGTGGTCGGGTGGGTCACATCCTCCAGGGTGGACTTGCTGGGTGGACTGCGAGACTGCTGAGGTGGGGACGCCCGGGGCTGGCACGGCACAGTCTTGCCCACACTGGCTGTCCTGCTGCCAGGCACATGCCGCCTGCCCAGGGCCCGGAGGGCAAACCAGACAGCAAGACCCCCAGTGAACCAGGGGGACCGTCCTGCGCGCCTGCCCCGCCCCGGCAGAGCCTCACTCACCCTGGAGATGCTCTCTGGGCCTGAGCTGGGGACACTGCCCCCTGGATTCCCTTGCTGGGGGGTGCCCAGAGCTGGTTCTGTGGGATCAGCTGCAAAGAAAGCCAAGCTCAGAAAGGCCCAGGAGTCCCCTCTCCACTGTTCAGAGGGTTGTATAGCCAGGGAGAGGGAGGGAGCGCCTAAGCCCATACCCTCTGCCCCTTCCTCTGAGGGGCTGTTTGAGAAGCCCTCCGGGGCTCCCTCAGCTGCAGTGAAGTGGGGAAGGTTTGCCGTCTTATATGTATGGTGGGCTCGAGGTGGGCATTTTGAGTTAGGAGGCACTGGAACATCCCCACACCTTTTTGAAAAGTGGAAGATATTTCACAATACTGCAGCCTAAAGCCACACGCCTTGAGGCAGGCTCTCGCCAGCTTCCCAGCATGGGGCCTGAAGCCCTCTGCTGGGTGGGGGTCCTCCAAGGTCCCAGAGGCCAGCCCTCTCAGGTCAGGGAACCAGGCTGCCCACCTTAAGGCCCCCCTGCTGGGCTACCTCCCGGATTTTGGACAGCATCGACTGGAGCCTTCCATTCTCCTCCTGTAGGACCCGAATGCGGATGTCGTTGGCCTGTACCTGCCTCTCCATGTCATCTGTGACGCTGCCGGAGCCTGTGGGGACACACCACCTGGCACCTCGCCCCACCAGGTCTGCCTCCTGTGCCCCAAGGGACTGGCCCTCAGAGAGCAGGCACACCAGCCCCGGGGGGGGGGGCGGCTTTCTCCTGTGGCCTTGTACCCATCCCCATGCCCCCACCTGCTGGGAGGTGACCACAGCATGGTAGAATTTGAGAGCTGGGTAGGAACTACAGCTCACTGGAGACGTAGCAACTAGGCAAGAGAGATTTCTCCCGAGTCCGCCTGTATTCGGGGGGCAAGAGAAGCAGTGAGCTGTCCAAAGCCACACAGCTGGTTCTTAGGGATGAGTTACCAGAATTCAGCAAGGATGTCCTTTCCCACTGTTTGGGGAATACATGCTTCCTTCTGACTGTAACCTCGTCAAATAGCTGCTTGCTCTGGTTATGTTTTCTGGTTTGTAAAAAGGGGCTGTTAGCTGCCTCGTGGGGCAGTTGAGAAGGTACAGAAGGGCCTGGTACACAGCGCTCAGACTGAGGACTTACTGTGACCAGTTGTCAGTGGCTCTCCTGACAACTCTTAATTTGTCCCCCAGAGCTTTAGAGGGTGGAGGGGTGAGACCCAGGTTGCCTGGCATCCAGTCCTCTGCTGAGATGCATCCTAGCACTTCTGTGCCATGGGTGTGCAGGACTCTGGACAGCTGGGGCTGTTCTCCTGGCGCTGGCCCCATGGTGTGGTTGTGGGACGCACTGGGGGGTAGGAACCAGGACAGGAGACACAGGGAAGTCAAGCAAGAACTGGCATGTGACATGGTAAACAGGCTACAGAGGCAGCCAGACCTGCGTCTGGATTCAGCTGTGTGACTGTGGGCAGTCACCCGCCCTCTGGGCTTATATCCTCATCTGCACAGAGGAGTGAATAGGTGAAGCATCTGGGTGTCCTGAGGCTCGGTAGGGCTGCACTGCTGGTCACCCCTGCTCTGCCACCCTTGCTGCAGGCTGGGGCATCACAGACTCCAGTGTGCTGCCCAGGCAGGCCCTCCGCTGCCTGCCCCAGGCCCCAGTGTGCCCGCCGTACCACTGCCAGGGCCCTACTTTGGATCTGGGCCTCGACGGGCTTGTGCAGGTCTGGAAAGGCCACCAGCAGCCGTTCCCGCTCGCTCCGCTCCACAAGCTCCTGCTCCAGCTCTGCGATGGTCAGCCGCAGGTCTGTCGTTGCTTGCTCCAGGCCCTGCTTCTCCTGCTGCAGGCTCTGCAGCACCTCCTGGGGCAGAGGGCAGCTCAGGCCTGGCCCGAGGAATGGCTCCTGGCTCCCCTGGGGACACCCCAGGCCCTCCACTCCCCAGACGTGGGGCAGCCCTGCAGGCCCTCAGCTGGCTTGGGGGCCCTGCACCTCCCGCTGCCTGTTCCCACCTGCTGGGCCAGGAGCTGGCACTGCCCCTGCTCCCTCTGCTGCTGCGCTCTCTGCAGCTGCTCCTCCACGTGGGCCCGCCGAGCCTCGGCCTCATCCAGGCTGCCCCGCAGCTCCTCGCGCTCCTGGTCCAGGCTGCCCAGCTGCTGCAGCAGGGCTCGGTGTTTGGCCTGCAGGGACTGGGCCGCGATAGGCAGGCACGGAGGCCGTGAGGGCCACAGGGCTCGGCCCGGCCACACGGGAAAAAGGAGGCTGCCATATCTGCAACCTCCAGGCCTTCCCCTTGTGCTGTGTCTGCCTGTGTACGGGGGAAGGCTGTGCACACACGTGCAGAGGAGGGGTCAGAGGGGAGATGGGTGCACACCCCAAACGGGTCAAGGTGGCATAAGGTCCTTGCTGAGCAGACAGCTCCTCCAGAACAAGGCCTCATTTGCTGTATCTGTTCCTGGGTCACTGGTTCCCCAGGGCCTGGCTCAGGGGCGGCTAATACCCTTGGCAATAATCAAACGAAAATCTGAGTGTGTGCTGGGAGCAAATATCCCACCTAGATGAAGCCCCTCCCCTGCCAGTGGGGCCCTCTCCCTGCAGCCTACTCAGCAGGTGCCCTGAACACTGGCACGGCCCCTGCCCTCACCTCCTGGTGGCGGGCCATGCTGTCAACGCGAGCCTTCTCCTTGTCCAGCTCTGTGCTGGCCCAGCAGATCTGCTGGCTCGCCCCGTCCAGCCGCCCCACCAGCAGCTGAACCTGCTCCTCCAGCTGCCGCACCTGTGCCTCGGCCACCATCCTGTGCTCGGCCTCCTCTCGCAGCTGCTGGGCCTTCGCCTCTGCCGGATGGAGCAGGTGTGGGAAGTAGGGAGGCAGGGGAGCCCCTCTGAGCCCCTCTGAGTCCTTGCACTGCCTCTGGCCCACAATGGGACCTGAGGGGCAGGTATCCCAGCCTATCCCTGGGTTTCAGTGTCCTCAGCCACCAAATGGGGCTCTGAAAATGGAAGGTGCTTTCTGAGTGGGAGGTGGAACCCCAGCTCCAGCCATCACCCAACAGTGTGGCCAGGCAGGCCCACCCTCCTTTGTGGGTCCCTTTATCTTTGCCCCAGGAGCCCGGAGGACAGAGATGGAGGCTGCTCATCCCGCGATCCCACCAGGTGGTGTGCCGCGCTGGGCATGTGGTGTAGGGCCACACGATGGGGCTCCTTACCCATGGCTTGCGTGGACTCCTGTTGCTGCTTCAGCTCCCCCTCGAGGGTGGCCACCTTGGTCTTGAGGTCACTTGTTTCTATGACAGCCGAGAGAGAGGCCCTTCAAAGTCTCTCCTGGGCCTCGCCAGTGGCATCATGCCCAGTGTGCCCTACAGAGTGGTGGCAGCCGTCACAGTGTGGAGGGGCTGCCTAGGTTTGTGGGAGGAGCTCTGGGGAGGTCTCAGAAGGCCTGGCCCCCATTTGCCCTGCTTCCTATTGGCTGGCTGCCATGCTTCTACACCTCTATGGGCCCCAGAGGTGACAGTAAGGCTCAGAAAGGGCAGGGACTTGCCGAAATCCTCAGGCTTCATTACAGCAGGCCCTGGCCCAGGGCCAGTGCCATAGCTGCATCTCTGCCACATGGCTCTCACTGATGACAAAAAGGCCGCTCTGCTCACTGGAGGTGTCAGGGGGTGGACTCCCCAGGACCAGCAGGAGTGAGCACCCGAATGCCCGGGCTCCCCACCCCTCTGATGGGACAGCTTAGGCACTTGTTCTGCACCACCAGCTCCAGTGTCCCTGGTGGTATGAAACCCCATTTGCCCCAGTACAATCTGCCTGAGGAGCACCCCTTTTTGCACTGTCTTCCCTTCCCTGCATCTCTGGCTCACTCCCCAGCCCAGGTTTCTTCCACACCAACTACATGTGCCTCCAGCCATGTCACAGGGTGTGCCTCTGGGAGAGCCCACGCTCAGGCTGTAGTAGAGCCCGGGCACTAAGGGACCGGCCGTGGGGCCACAGACCTGCGAGCAGTTGCTGCTTCTCACGCTCCCACCTGGCCAGGCGCTGTGCGGCCTCGTCTGCTTGCTGCCGCCGCTGCCCCTGCTCCTGCTGCAAAGCCTGCTCCAGCTCGCCCACCTGCTTCTTCAGTCCATCCTTCCGTCCCTCAGCCTCCTCCAGCTGGGCCCTGAGGGGCCCGATGAGCTGAGTGAGGGCCCCCACGTGCTCACTGAGGCGAGTCAGGTCTTTGCTCTGCTCTGCTGCCCAGTGGCCTACGGTGGCAGCTGGAAGTGGCCTGAACCCCATGCTGTCCTGCACCAGAGGCTGGAACTGGCCTAGGGACGAGGGCAAGTTCTGGCTCTGACACAGGTGGATGACCATCTTGCCCACCTCTCGCAGGCTGCCCTGGACGCTGGTGCATGCATCGCAGGGCACCAGGGCTGTCTCCACAGTTTGGGAATAGACGCTCTTGGTGTGCTCGGTGGCCCTCACTGGACACTGCAGGGAGTCTCTGATGGGGAGGCTGTCCAGCTCTTGGCAAGTCTGGGGCAAGTCTGGCATTGGGGAGGAGGGCTTGATGAACTTGGCAGTCACAAATTTAAGGCTCCTGGCTGGCTTGCCCTTGGCTGTGGGCTCGGAGGTGGGGGTCTCCCCTTGGTTTGCCTTTTTCTGTGGTCAGAAAAAGAAAGAAAGCAGGTGAGGGAGACGGGCCTGGTAGGTGAGCAGTTCCCTGGGGATGTTCCGCGACAGCCTCTCCTGATGCTCAGACCCTCAGATACTATCTGACACCAGTGTGAATGAGATCAAGAGCTTTCTCCTCTCCTTCTCCTGCCTCACCTTACAAAGCCCAGGCCCCCTCCCTGCTGTCTCTCTCCCCACTGGCTTGATGCAGACACAGGAATAGTACCGGAAATGTAACAGTGACAGCCACAGCTGTTCAGGACCTTCCCAAAGTCCCATAGTATAAACAGCAGAGCCAGGTGGCCCAGCTGTGCCCCTGAGACCTGATTTGCTAACTGAGACACTGCATGGGCCTGGATTTGGAAGCTCCAGAGTTACTACTGTCTCCTTTGGGCAGTGAGAAGCCAGGAAAGGAGGCAGCACACACGTGGTATGCTAGGAAGCCGAAGCGAGGGCAGGGTGGACTGGCGCGAGGGGGACCAACCCACCTGGGGGTCCGCCTGCCGGTGGAGCAGGTCCAGGCTCAGCAGGCTATTCCAGAAGCACCGCACCGTGAGCCCCACAGACATGCAGGGCCCCACAGTGTGGGTGGGGGGCACAGTCTGCTCTGAACCAAGGTTCTCCAAGTAGCTCGCGCAGCTCTGAAGCAGTAGCAGGAGCCTGCAGGCAGAGACGGCGGGGCCAGCTAGGGTGGAGCCGGGGGCCGATGTGCCCTACCACATACCCAGCGGCCTCTGGCTCTGGGAAACTGGCCCCAGCATCAGGGACTTAGAGTAGCTTAGAATATGTTCTGCGGGGCCAGTTTCAAACCCAGGAGCCGCTTTCTCCAGGTAGCCCTCCTGGAGGGCTGAGCTCGCGGGCCTCTTCCATATCTTCCAAGAGGCAGAATTTCTGCCTGGCTGTTCCCCGCTGGACTGGGGTGCCTTGGGGCCGGGCTTTGCCTCGGTTGTATCCTGAGTGCTTGCCAAGTGCCGGGTGAGCGGCTGCCTCACCTCCCGTGGCTCAGAGCCTCTGCCTTACGGAGGACGGAGCTGGGACTCCGAGCGGGAAGAAGGCTGCTCAGGGCCTCCGGGTGAGCATGCAGGGCAGGGGCGCCCTGCGGTACCCTGAGTCTAGTCAGGGCTTCTCCTGCAGTGTGAGCTGCTTCTGTGACAACAGAGACATGGCGTGAGGAGAGCTAGGTTTCCGTCCTAACCTTGGAGTTCAAAATTAGAGTCAGGGGCTCATTTTAAGGAAAAGGAATGTTGGAAGGGAAAGTTTGATTTGCATGGACACCAAGCTCTTTTTTACAAAACACAGCAGACAGAAGAATGACCTTATCTTGTTGCAGATGCAGGAGGGTCATCCCCAATCCACTGCGGCCTTGGGCAGAGAGGGCCTGGGGGAGGAGGTGCCAGCTGCCTCTAGGCCCTGCCCCTGTCTTGGCCAAGGTGCCCTCTGTGAAGGGGAACAACTGTGCTGGTCACAGTGCTCAGCAGCACGGTGAGGTAGGGACGTGTCTGGAAGAGGACAGAGCATGGCCTTGATAGAGGGGTCAGTGGGGGCTAGGGAGGCAGGTCATCACAGCTTCACACAAGGGGGATGGGTAAACTGGGCCTTGACTCGGCCACAGCAGGAAGGGGTGGACACAGCATATGCAAAACCACGGAGGAAGGAAGGTGTTCTGTGCTTACATTCAGCCCCTCACAGGTTCCAAATGGTGCTTGCACACCGAGGGCTCCTCCAGGCCTTTCAGTGGTACCCTGGCTTTTGTCCCCAGGCAGGAATCTCCAAATTGCTGGAGTCCCTGCCTGTCAGGCCCCAGTGACTTCATTAGTGCAAGGTTTGGGGAGGTACAGGGAGCCTGGGTTCACAGTCTGCGTGAAGTAGAAAGCTGACAACCAGATTAACTTTAATGGTGGCGTAGAAGTGGGACTCTGGGGGAGTCCTTTGGCCTTTCCCAGCAGGACCAGGATTTGGAAAGACACTTCCTGTACCTGACCCTGTGACAGAGCCCACAAGAGCCAGGAAAAAGAGTCTGGGATGGATGCTCTGGGCAGTGGCTGTGGTGTCCTGACATACAGAAACCTTGAGGAGGCAGCTGGCGGAGCTCTGGTGTGGCAGAGACCCACTGGGTGGCCAGGACTTCCTGAGGGTGCACAGTCTGCAACACTATAGCAAGCGATGTAGCATGACACCAGGTGAGATCACTGTGCTGGCCTGAGCCGACTGTGTCTGACAGGTACTCGGTCAAGTTACAGGTAACTGTTGTTGCCGATTTTGGCACCACTGCTGGATGGGGATCCTGCGGCTGCTACTGGTTTAAGGGGCATGTGCCAGCATCCCAAGATCCCTGGGTTTGGTCAGGACCCTCACCTGTCGATGACGAGCTCCAGCAGAACAGCATGGGACAATTGCGTGAACTCGGGGTCATCTGGCACATGGTCATAGTGCTCCAGCAGGGCCACCATGTCCAGGTCACAGGCCACGCGGTCAGGGAACTTCCAGGAGGGGAAGCGCACAGGCCTGGCACGGGAGAACACATCCACGATGGCGCCCTGCAGGTCAGTGAGGTCCTTGCGCAGGCTGTCCATGCAGGCCTGGCTGCCCAGCAGGTGCGCCATCCTCGCGGCTCCTGGGATAAGCAGAGAGGATCCTCGTCAGTGAGAGCTGTGTGGCCACTGCCGGGGAAACCTTCCTAAAACTCCAAGCTGCTCCGTTACTCCTGGGCTGAAAGTCTGACCTAGACGCTGGGGAGAAGTCTTCCCCGGCCCCAAGTCACCAGACCCTTCAGGACTGGTTGTGGGTGACCTCACCAGCCTCCCTCTCATCCACCCCATCCCGTGCCCATGCTGCCGATTCCATCATTCCACAAGTCCCTCTCAGGGCCTGTGTGGGCCAGGCCTTGCTAAGTGCTGCGTGGAAATAGCTACGAATGAGAATGTGCCGAGTCCTTCCCTCCCTGAACCATAGAACATGTGCCTTGTTCAGGGCGAGGCACCAGTGAAAGTTTTCAAGCAATATAATTATTATTATGGTGATTACTGTTATCAGCAGTAACAATAGCAAAGACTGTCCTTGCCCACGGCTGCTGCCGCCTTCTATACTTCTCCCTTTCCCCTGCAGCCCCCACAAAACGTCCAGAGTCCATGGACACTTGAAGACCATGGATTGGATGAGCCAGCTTTGGCTCTTGACTCGGCCCGTCCGGTGGCTCACTGCGTGCCTCAGGGGTTCGTGCTTTGGCAGCTGGTGTTGGAGCCGGCACTTTGTTCAGAGTTGGGCAGCCCTCTGGGGGCTGAGTCCTGGTCCCTGAGTGCCCCGCAGCAGGTATGCCCCGTCCTTTGTGGAGTCCTCAGCAGCAGAAAGCGCTTCCGTGCACCCCAGCCCCACCCTGCACTGCAGGGGCTGCTTGGGCAGTGCTGAGGCCATGGCCTCTCTAGCCCCCAGCAAGTCCAGGCCTGGTGGGGAAAACTCTTTGTCAACCTATTTCCACCCCCCAACCTCCCTCATCTCCAAAAATGGCACCCCCATGTCCAAGCAGAGAGTGTTAGCAAAACTATATCCAAACCACATGGAAAAACCACCACTTCTGTCCACGACACCACTGCGCGCCCCCCACCTCCCAGACTACTGCCACAGTCTCCTTGAGGGGGTCACTCCCTTCCTTCTGCCCAGCACCACCTTGTCTGTTATATAAGGCAGCCAGAGAGATGCTTTAAAAAAGGCAACTTAGCCCCTTCTTAACGCCCTTGAATGGCTTTCTACAGCATAAAAACTGGAACACTTCCTGGGCTCTGGCCCTGCATGGTCTGGTCCCACCTTGGTGTCTCACCACACAGAACACACCTCCTTTCCACACTTCCTCTAGGTAGGACCCCTCCCTCGGGTCCCCAGGCCAGGTGAGGTCCACCGTCACACATCGTCAGAGCATCCTGTTCTTTTCCCTCCCAGCACACTTCACACTGGCGCTATTTCCTTCTTTGAATAATTATTTGTGGTTGGCAGTCTGTCTCCCTGTGAGCACATGGACTGTCTTTTGAGTTCATTGCTGTGTGACTTGGCCACCTGAGCCGAGGGACCTGAGGGCCAGCTGGGAAGCTCAGAGGCACCCAGGGGTGGTTCCCAGGGCTGAGCCAGCCTCTCCAGCCTCCCAGAGGACCAGTCCTTATCCTCACCTCCACACAGGTGTCTGCCCTGTGGGCTAGGGGGACTGGCCTGTGGGCGCTGGGACTCAAGGTCAGAGGGTCCCAGGTGCCCGGCTTCCTCTCTTCGGTTTCTGGGAATAGATGAAGGTAAGTGTGAGTGGGCACTCAGGGAGGCTTCCTGGGGGCAGGGAGGAGGGGTCACAGAAGATGGGGGCTGGGGTGGGGGCGGAGTATCCCAGGCTGGAGTAATGGGGTGAGGGTAAGGGCAAGAGGGGTCTCCTGCCTTGAGTGTGAGTGCAGAGGACATGCTCCAACAGTGCTACCTATGACTACAGGACCTACTGTGTACCACTTCTCGATCTATACAGGGGAGGGAGCAGGCTGTGGAATGTTAAGAGGTTAGCCCAAGGTCATTTAAGGTGCTGGGAATCTTGAGTCCAATATCTCTGCTCTGGCTTCAGGCCATCCTGCTTCCAGAACAGTACTGTCCAAAAGAAATATAATGCAAGCTACATATAGGATTTTAAATTTTCTACTAGCCACATTTAAAAAAGTAAAAAGAGGTAAATTAATTTTTTTAAAAAATTTCATTTTACCTAATATGCCAAAATACCAAAACTTCAAAATGAAAACAATATAAAATTATTATGGAGATTTTTTTACAGTCTTTTTTTGCATTAAGTCTCAAAATCTAGTGTCTATTTCACATATGTCCATGTGGACCATCCACATTTTCAAATGCACCACCACACGGACAAGTGGCTACTGTACTGGGCAGCACAGGTGTAGGGGTCAGATCCTGTGTGTGCATTCAGCACACAGTCCCTGAGTACCTACCTCATGCACGGCACTGTGCCAAGAACAGGGACAGAGCTGGGTCTATAGCTGGAAATATGTCTGCTGGAAACCACCACCTCTGTCTGCTGTGCTCTGCAGGTGGCAAGTCTTCGGTGTGTCAACTCGGTCAGTTCTACCCACAGGTCCGTGAGTATCCACCCCACAACATTTCACATACACACACAAACACACAGGCCTACATCTTGCACACACAGATTGCCTTGGTGACTGCCTCTCTGGAGATAGGGCTACCCATGAGGGTTTGTCCCCAAGGAATGAGGCAGAAACAAACAAAAAAAGCCTAAAACATTCTGGGTTTCCTTCCTGGAAAGGGAGGAAGGAAGTAAAACAAGCAAGGATTCCCACCCTGGGAGGAGGTGTATTCAGGTGGTACAGCGCCTGGACTTGGGAGGTTGCTTGTGAATACACCAAGAAACACGGACCTGTTCACCCTTAAAAACTACAATTGCTATCTGGAGCCATTTGCAATAGCAACTCCTGTTATATTCCAGTTCTGATAAGCAGCAACAAATGCCAAAGCATCAAGAATTTACAAGAGGAAAATACAACTTTGAAAAATATCCAAGGTTAGCTTCAGTTATTTTTTTCCTGAATATTGGAGATTTGCAAATATAAACATGGTCTGAGAACCACACAGGTGTATGTCAGGTGAAGGAGCATTTGATTCGGGCTCTCTCTGTAATTCCTGGGTCTCCAGTGGAACTCTCAGCCTGAGGCTGCCAGCCCTGCACTCTTCCTGAGGTCACATGGGTGGTGGCACTAATTGAGTCACCACCACCCTGCGGTAGGAGAAGCAGCTAACTGCTCAGGAGTCCCTCGAGTTCAAGGTGGATTAGTGACTCACAGAGAGGGGAAGGAGGTTTTTCTCCACTCCCGTTCAACGTTCAAGCCCTTTCCCTCTCTGAGCCCTAGGACCCTATTCATCTGTTAAAGATTTTGCCATGGCGCCCGCTGAGACTCAGGGCCACCAGCATAAAAACTTTTTTGGAAAGTTTAAACCCATCTATAGTCATTTGTCAGTTTGTAACTCAGGATTGCCAATCGCCTGGATCCTTGCGCGCACTGAAGGGTCCAGTGAAGACGAGGCATGAAGTAACTGCACTAGGAGAGGGGTAAGGATGGTCTGGATTTAGAGCCCCACTCCACCAACTCGGACCTTTACTGTCTTCATCTGTAAACAAATTGCTATAGGACATACACAGTGTAACGCAGATGGTTTGACACAGAGTAAGTGTTCAGTAAGTCCCAGCTAACATTATTCTACATTAATAATAAAAACAATGACAAAAACCAGCTATGGGGTGTGTGTGTGTGAGCAAGACAGGGAGGGAATCTCTTTCCTATCACTCCCCCATTTCTCAAAGGACGAAACTGAAGTTCAGGCACGGGCTCACACCCGCCCGCCCGCCTTCCGGAGTCGGGAGGGAGGGGAGAGGGGGCCGGGAAGAGGTCTCAGGAGTGGAAGCGAAAAAGGCGGGCTTCCAGGTGTACCTCGCAAAGTAGCAGTAAGCGGCGGGCCAGGACACACCTGCGGGCGTGAGGGGTGGCGCCTAAGAAAGCTCCGGTTTGGACGGACCTTGGGGAATGAAGGCGGGACTCTGGAAGGCAGGGGCCAACCTCGAGAAGGCAGGTCCAAGGGAAAAGGGACCTTTTGGGAATTAGGGCTTCGGACTAAGTAGGATTGGAGGCCTGAAGGAGGTGGTCTGAAGCAGAAGACCGACGCGGGGGTAGGGAGGCGAGGTTTGGGGGTGGGAAGCCCGAGGGGAGGGGGCTCTCCCAAGAGCGACACCAGTGGGAGGGAGCGGGAGCCTTGGAAGGCGGGGTCGAAGGGAGCGAGGAACTGGCCTGTGCAGTAAATTTAGAAGGGGCCAGGGCTGCGGGGTGCTTGCGGGGGTCGGCAGGCGAGGGCTGTAGACCGTCTCACCAGTCTCCGGGCGTAACAGCCTCAGTCCCTGGGTCTGGTCCGCTCCTGGAACTGCGCCGGAGCGCGCCGGCCGCTCCTGGGATCACCTGCAAATCCTAGTCTGGCGCCCAGACGGCTGCCGTAGCAACGGTGTGTTTTTTCGCGCGCTGCTCTCGCGAGGGAGGGATAGGAAGCAACGTCTCGGCGAAGGGGCGTGCCGGAAATACGTCAGCCTGGCCTCCTCTCCACGACTCGCTCGGCAACCGCCATCTTACGAGCTTCTCGGACCGTCGGTGCGGGTAAACTGCTTTGACACCGCACTGTTCACGTACCCCGAGGCGGACTGGCAGCCCTCAGCGTCGCAGTCATGCCGGCCGGGCCCGTGCAGGCGGTGCCCCCGCCGCCGCCCGCGGCCACCGAGCCTAAACAGGTACCGCGACCCCTGCACCCCGGTTGGACGCCCGACCCTAGGCCTGGGCCCTCCTCTCCGGCGCTGGGGCTCCTCTCGCGCAGGAAGGAGCGGCCGCTTCGGAGAGCTTGGAGGGACTGCAAGTCC